CTGCTGCAAGCTCCAGGTTTAACATGGCCAACGGCCACCTAGCTACTGGCATTTTTCCGAGCCTCCTCTCTCCCCCCTCTCCATAACTGCCACTTAATTAGCTGCTTGTTACTACCCCCAAGTCCCTCCCCTATTCCCTGGACTATATTGCCTGTAACGTTGAAAGTAAATTACCTACAATTTCACCTTTTACACTTTACCTCCCTCCCATATAAATGTAATGGCCTGATGGGAATTTATTGAAAGTATACGTATGCTCGCCAATTGCTCTTCGGATTTCTGTGATGGGAATTTTTGCAATTTTAAAATTCTAAATTGCTTTATGAGTTCTGCGGCATGATATACCTCCCATTTTGTTAGTAGGAAGGGTTTTGTGCGCTTGATGTTTTAAAATAAATGAATTTGTTTAAAACTGGTTCTAGGACTGACGGTAACTGAATATAAAGGATAGATTGCCTTCAATTACTAGGCTGCCTTTAATTGCTGCCGAAGAGGTATGCTTTAGTTTTGCCTACATAGCCTTTACTGACGAAAAATCGGATGCTGATTTTTGTCCAGCTTCAGCTTAATTTCGTCACGCGAAAAAAGTAAACTCCGTTTATTTTTTTATTTTATTAGCCAAGCAAAATAGCGCCGGGGTCTCCGTGAAAGTATATGAGTGAGAGATTTCAGAAATATTTTAGTAATTTCATACAGATTGCATTTTGCGAATGCATGCCCAGAAAGGAGTAAAAATAATAAAATTACAATTCTTCTCCCATTTAGGCATGAGATGAGGTCTGTAGAAGAGGTAATGATTTGTAGGGTGCTCAAGCGTCCTCTGCAGATGAGGGGGATATGGTTCGACTATTGTCCATCATAAAAGAGCCCTAAAGATGAACAGTTTGTAAAAATAACCTCTCAAAATACGTAATCTACTGCATTTTGTAATGAAACATTATGACACATTAACAGGTAAATATCGAAATACAAAGCCTTTCAACTTACCGGCAAAGCAGCCAGTAAGAAAGCAGGCTATAGTTCCGCCAACCATTCCACTGAGAATCATCTCTGACAACTCCTTCCGACGGTGTGGCAGCATGGTTACCAGGGACCCTAACATGATGCCGATCGATCCAATGTTTGCAAAGCCACAAAGCGCATACGTGCTAATAACTTCTGCTCGCTTGGTCTGAAAAAATAAATTTTATCTTAATGTCCATCAATAAAATAAAAGCCACTGAAAGTTGATTCCAGCAAGCTTTTGTAAAAATTTGTGTAAATTCTGCTCGCTAAAGTAAAATCTACTAGAACTCACGTGGAATATACCGTACTCCATTAGGTGTGTAGTTCCATTTCGAAAATCAAACATAATTCCGCCATTCGGCAAGTACGTGAAAGTACTGTTACCCTGAAACTCCCGATAAATGGCACTGTCCTTTATAATAATCCCTAAAAAATGTTAAAAGCAGAGAGTTGAACAGCTTAAACTTTGAGAACATACGAGTGCCGAAAGTTGTCACTGACGAAGCCAAAGGAACTGATAGCAAAATAAAAAACGGAATACTATCCTATCATTAATTTTCACCGACGACTATAGGAGTTTGGCAAGTTTTCAAAAGAACCGGAAATGACAGGGGTGACGTGAGCATGATCTAAAGTCAGACTCGACCACTAAAATGTGGCCCATCAAAATTATAATTCTCCAGTGGACAGATGAATCTAATGGAGCCCTCCCTTTGGAATTGGTATTTCGATATTATAACCTGAGAATATTGTTTTATTTGTACACAAGAAAAAAATATCTCACACGGAGCAGAACAGGGATTTTCTATAAACATGCTATTTTTATATTTGTATCAACAGACAGGTAAAAATCCTAAATTTGCGGGTCAAAACGGAAATAAAAGTCTTCCTCCTAGAGGCATGACCTCGCGGTTGCATTTTCTCAGTTAACTGAATCCCACATACCAGGTACTTGATGGTGGAACAAAGCAGTGGAACGATAAATTTGTGTGCAATGGTCTATGGTAGAATGTATTTAGGTGAGAACGAAGCGTCTGAGTACTATCTCCAAAAACATTTCCGCATTCAACTAAGGAATTATGCGCGTGCTCTTTCTTCATTTTTGCGCGGTGGAGACAAGATGGTCTCCTACGTATATTTTTGGCCCATTATTACCTAATATATAAATGAGACAGATAGCATTATGAAATGACATAATAAGACGAGCTATTTCTTCGGAAAAATCGAGTTTCGATTGCGTATTTAAAAGCTACTGTACCGGCGTGATTGAAAAAAATATACACAGTGATATTTTTGGCTTAACAGTAGGAAACCTAATAAATTTGGGCATCAAAACAGGCTTAAATGAATACTCTTGAATGATCGCAACAGAGTTTGGTCAAGCGAAAAACCTATAACTCCTTACCTAATCTGGTGAAAGCAACGAATTCGTTGAGCATTGATTTCACTCCAATTAGCTCAGCGACTTTGAGACAGTCCTCTGAGGGCACGCCCATCGTAAAGGCGATCGGCCAAAGAACGTACGAAAATATAAGCTGCAGGGGGAGGGAAATTAAAGGCTTGCAGTGTTCTCGTTGAATAAATTGGGAATTGTTATATAATACAGGAGTAAAGGGAACCTGATGGTCGATGGAAGCATATCAAATGGGGCGTCAAATTGTTTGCCTAATGTTTCCAAATTGTACTCCTTCTATGAGTTCAAAGTTTGTTCAATTTGTGGGAAAGGGCAAAGGTAGTTTATGTAGTGCACCTCATATACCTCTAGTTCCAGCATTTCGTTCTTTTGAAACGGTGGTTTTAGGGGTTTGTGGGTGGGGAAATAGGATAGGTAGTGAAGGAAATTTGTATAAGTGGAAAGTGGAAAAATATAGTCGAATTTGTTTACCGCAGCCACTGGAAGTAAGTTATTACATATGTAACTTGAAGGTGTGCGGAGCGCTTCGCGCCGCAGACTTTACTAATCTAACCCCAGAACAGTAAGTTGGCCTTCAGGTAAGTTGAAGTAGACGATCCCCTAACCACCACTTCTATTCTTCGAGGAATTTCGCTAAACCTACATTTTGATGATCAGGGTTTTCCAAAATACATTAAACGATAATACAGATTAGGAAAATCTACAGATATAAAACAATAACATTTCATAATGCAATAAAATAAACATGCATTTAGAAATTATTAAAGTATATTCCACTACCTATTCTAATTGCCCACCCATGAAACCCATATAACCACCATTTCTATAGGACAAAATACCGGAACTAGGGTTATATGAGATGCACTACTTAAACTACCGTTGCCCGGAAAAGCATCTATTTTACGAGTATCTATGCTACGATTATTTCCTAAGCGATACAATGAGAGGCGGACTCTATAGTGTTTATACCACGAAGTTCATATCCTAGTTCGCGACACGGCCAACGATTGACCAAATTGTTCTTAACTGCATTCAAGAAGAGGTCCTTTGTGGTTACGGCTTGCCTCAGTCTGCCTGGAGGATCAAAAAGACTATGTTCAAAATTAAAGATAAGTCAAGATCATAATGGTAAATTTTGGCCAGTTTACTGATTTCCCTAAAAATTATGGACACATCTGTTATAAGTGAATGAGCTAAGATTGCTATTTAAATCGGAACAGTTTTCAGTATATTTGCTTACTTCTAGGCTCAGTTCTACAATAAAAAATGCAGAGCAGAGTGGCAATAATATCAACGGCGATTTTTGACAAACTTGTTTCGCAATGTCCTGCGACAACTCACTCAAATGTGTGTTATGTTAACTTTCTTCAACCGTGGATTGACTGTACAGTCGATTTAGTTACTATATACCAATAAAGTCCTCATAGCATTCTTTGCCTGCAACCTTTCAAATAAACAATATACATTTTTAATTAGGGTATAGCACGTAACAGCCGTTTTAGTTTATTACTCAATTTTATGGCATAAAACTTGGCGAATTTGCAAAATATAATATTTTAAACTAATTTCACTATTATCTTCCAAAAATAATGCGCTATCTCCTAATTACACTAACCTCAATGT